GCCTAAGGTAGGATTTGAACTTGAGTCTGATGCGACAACCACTATGCTACCAGTGACCGGTGACATGAGCATTTGAAAACGGCTAATTGTCTATGGGGCTGGTAGTTTTTGAGAAGTAGGCGATGTAAATTCTTACCAAAAATAACAAAAATGTTCGCTAATGTAAATAATTAATTAATGTTATCATATTAATAACAAATCTGAAAGATGACCACTCAAGGTACCGGCTACCTATTTGTACCTACATGGCTTAAACTGAAATCAAAAATAGATACTGGAATAAATAAAACTGAAATTTTTGAAGGAATGAGAATGATAGTTTTTTTGGCCCAGTGTTTTTGGATTCCCTTGTGTGTTCAGGTTAATGAAGTGCGCCCTCATTTTTAATGTGTTCATAACTGGCTATTATATTGCATGAAAACACCTGATCAGATGGTGAAATTGACATCTCTGACAACCAGTCTAGTGGGTCATTAGGATACCAATAATCATCAGAAATTTGGTATGTCTCATTTTTGGCATTTATTTCTTGCAATTTTCATGTACTTCTATGGGAGGTGTACACTCACCCTTGAACTTTGGCAGCATGTCCTTATCGCAGTCTGATTCATCATCATTGCCATCGATGTCTTCGGTTACATGTGTGGCTGGTGTCTGGGTAGCTGGTGTGACCCGAAGAATTTTCTCTACTGACACCTTATCGCCTTGGCAACCACTTCTATCATTGTTTGTAAGTGGACAACTAGAAAAGGTAACGAACACAGAAAGAAACAATCAGTGTTTGTTTTTTTTTAATTTGATCATGTATATCTTGTACTTGAATGTGATTGCATTATACAGTGTAGATGTCGTCCCTACTTGTACAGTTACGGTACATTTACCTGTACCAATATTTACATTACATTACCAAACAATAATTTGTCAATCGCTGCCTCGTCTAAACTCTTAGGCCCTTGTGTATAGAACTTTACAGTAGCGCCGACAAGTTTCAGAGTTCCTTATCAGTCATTTTCAACCTGAATAAAATCTGATGTAGGTATAGGCTATAATATTTTAAAAATTTGTTTTTACTTTTTAATGTAGTATACTTTATTTTCGCTTGGAATTAATTTTCGCTATTTTCGCTGAAGGAATGGTTCGGTGAAAATAAAATCCAGCGAAAATACCTTTTTTCCTATATTTTACGTTCAACTCGTCAAAAATCAGTGAAAATAAATTCCATACAAAACACCCAAAAAGTCTTTTCAGCGAAAATTAATTCCAGCTAAAATAAAGTATTTGATAGTATTTTTAAGTTATTCAGTTTTCTTAGTTAAGGGGACCGAGATACAATATACAAAAATGGCATGAAAAGCCCCCCAAAAACATAGGGGCTTGACGACTTGACGGCTGTTGGGGGGAAAATGACAGTAACATTTAATATATTTCTGCATACAACATATAATAATAATTATATTTTTTTTTAATTTCACTATTTTATGATAGCATAATGTCATGTACTGATGGAGACAAAATAGTATTTTCTCAGTGTTTCCACATGTTTTTTTCTAATGTGTTGATGGCATTAAAAAAACAACCTTAGATGATAAATTCAAAATCTTTTTGATAGTTTTTAACCTAGATTTTGTAATCCGGGACATGTATGAATAATCTAATCTATAAGATTAAAAAAAACACATTATCACTAGTTAGCTCAGACTGAGTATGGTTAAATTAATTTCAGAACCAAACTTTGTAGCTCTTGTTTGGTACAGAAATCATTTTACAGCTACAGAGGGCGCTCTGTTCATAGTGCTTCACATACTGTAAATGCATTAATTATTCACTGGGTTTTATTTTCGCTGATAAGTAAAATCCACTAAATTAAATCGACGTGAACATAACAAAATAACAATAAAACTTATTGTTTTCATGACAAAATCGTGAAATTAAAACAGTGAATATGTTCAAAACACCCAAATTAAATTGTCAGTGAAAATAAATGGTTTTACAACTGAAGCACTGGAGGAATACTTGAGAAAATTCAATCAATATTGGAAACACATCAGAATTCAAATTTCTATTTTTATTCAAACATATACGGGCCACATATACAATATGCAGTTCAATTTGTCATTATTTTAGCATTC